TGTGGAGTTTACTCAAAAAATTAAAAATAGAACTACCCTACGACCCAGCAATTGCACTACTAGGTTATTTATCCAAGGGATACAGGTATGCTGTTTCGAAGGGACACATGCACCCCCATGTTTATAGCAGCACTATCAACAATAGCCAAAGTATAGAAAGAGCCCAAATGTCCATCGATGGATGAATTGATAAAGAAGATGTGATACACACACACACACACACACACACACACACACACACACACAATGGAGTATTACTCAGCAATCAAAAAGAATGAAATCTTGTCATTTGCAACTATGTGGATGGAACCCGAGGGTATTATGCTAAGTGAAATTAGTCAGTCAGAGAAAGACAAAAATCATATGACTTCACTCATATGAGGACTTTAAGAGACAAAACAGATGAACATAAGGGAGGGGAAACGAAAATAATATAAAAACATGGAGGAGGACAAAACAGAAGAGACTCTTAAATATGGAGAACAAACAGAGGGTTATGGGAGGGGGTGTGGGAGGGGGGGATGGGCTAAATGCGTAGAGGGCATTAAGGAATCTACTCCTGAAATCATTCTTTTATAATCTGCTAACTAATTTGGATGTAAATTAAAAAAAATAAAATTAATAAAAAAAGATTATTAAAAGAAAAAAAAGATTTTCAAGCACTTCTTTCCTTGACCTGGATTTCATTTTATTTTATTTATTTTTAATTAATTAATTTATTTTTTCAACGTTTATTTATTTTTGGGACAGAGAGAGACAGAGCATGAACGGGGGAGGGGCAGAGAGAGAGGGAGACACAGAATTGGAAACAGGCTCCAGGCTCTGAGCCATCAGCCCAGAGCCTGACGCGGGGCTCGAACTCACGGACTGCGAGATCGTGACCTGGCTGAGTCGGACGCCTTGCCGACTGTGCCACCCAGGCGCCCCTCATTTTATTTTTTAAACAAAAGGGCCTAATATGTACATCAGTGAAACAACTGGATATAATATTTGCATAACCCATTTTAAATTATGATCCAAATGCTGTATTTAAGCTCAATAAAATGTAAACCAATCCTGTAAATAAAATTTAAAAAGGACAAATCCATATACCATTTCTGGTATTTTCCCTGCCAGTCAGCTCTGGGACCACAGAATGAGAGGAAACTGCTCTTGTCCACCTTTTATAGGAAGCATAATAAACCAGGAAAATGGCATCTAAAAGGCACATTAATCAGTTTCCCCAGTTTAATGGCGAAAGTACTGAGAAATGAAACAGCAGAACCACACATTAAAAAAATTTAAGAACTAAAAAGTGTAATCAATGTTTTTTTAACTAAAAAGAAACAAAGCTTTTAAATCTTTTTTAAAAGTTTATTTATTTATTTATTGAGAGAGAGAGAAACAGAGCACATGAGCGTGGGAGGGGCAGAGAGACAGAGAATCCCAAACAGGTTCCTTGCTGTCAGCACAGAGCCTGATGTAGGGCTCAAACTCATGAACTGTGAAATCATGACCTGAGCCTAAGTCCAGAGCCGGACACTTCCTCAACTGACTGAGCACCCAGGCACCCCAAGAAACAAAGCTTTTAAACTGAAAGAGAGAGCTATTATTGATGAATGATTGTCTGTCTGTAGGCCTTTATATAAAGATCTGTTCCCTCTCCAAGCAATTAAACATAGTAAAATGAGCTAAAGATTTCAGATTTTTAGGCTGGGCACAAGTAAGAATCTACTGACAAATAGATTAAATAGCCACATGAAGTGTCTTCAAAATAATTGACTTAGATAATATTTACCTAAACACAAGTAACAAGGAAATTTCTGGCTTTGGGATTCTGTCACACTTTTTTTCCCTCTTCCTATGCTAGATCCGGGGCAAGAGGAGGAGAAATGAAAGAGTGGCCAATGCCCTCTTTTTATTTTTTAATTTAATGTTAATTTTTATTATTGAAAAAATTTTAATTCCAGTATAGTTAACACGCAGTGTTATATTAGTTTCAGGTGTACAACACAGTGACTCAAGGATTTCATTCATGCTCAGTGTTCATTTTAAATGCACTCTTCCTCCCCTTCCCCTATTTCACCCATGCTCCACCCACTTCCCCTCTGGTAATCATCAGTTTGTTTTCTATGGTTAAAGAGTCTGTCTCTTTGTCTCTCTTTCTCTCTCTCTCTTTTTTCCTTTGCTCATTTGTTTTGTTTCTTACATTGTACATGAGTGATATCATACAGTATTTATCTTTCTCTGAATTATTTCACTTAGCATAATACTCTACAGATCCATCAACGTTGTTGTAAATGGCAAGATTTCAATATTTTTATGGCTGAATAATATTCCATTTATATGGGTCACATGGTAACTTTATATATAACAATGGAATACTATATATATATATATATATATATATATATATATATATCCATTCATCTATCAATGGACACTTGGGCTGCTTCCATTATTTGGCTATAGTAAATAATGCCACTATATACATAGGGGTGCATGTATTCCTTTTAATTAGCATTTTTGTATTCTTTGGGTAAATGCTCAGTAGTACATTTGCTGGATCATAGTAATTTTAATTTTAACTTTTGGAGGAACCTCCATGCTGTTTTCCACAGTGGCTACATCAGTTTGTATTCCCACAAACATAAGAGGGTTCCTTTTTCTCCACATCCTCACCAACACTTATTTCTTATGTTTTTGATTTTAGTCATTTTGACAGGTGTGAGGTGATATCTCATTGTAATTTTGCTTTGCATTTCCTTGATGACGAGTTATGATGAGCATCTTTTCATGTCTGTTGTCCATCTGGGTATCTTCTTTGGAGAAATGTTTATTCATGTCTTCTGCTCATTTTTTAATTGGATTACTCATTTATTAAGTGTTAAGTTCTTTATATATTTTGGATACGAACCCTTTATCATATATATCATTTGCAAATATCTTCCCCCATTCAGTGAGTTGCCTTTTAGTATTGTTGATTATTTGTTGTGTAGAAGTTTTTTTTATTTTGATGTAGTTCCAATAGCTTATTTTTGCTTTTATTTCCCTTGCCTCAGGAGGATTCTATCATACTTTTTATAAAACATTAGAGACAACCTGAAATTTTTATTTAAAATGTTGCCTAGTGAAAGTAATTTTACAAGTGTAAAGAAATATAAGACAGAGGCTAAACTATTTTGCATAAAAGGTTGTTATTTTACTAGACATATACTGTTTGTACTAAATTATAATCACAAAATGATCTTTATATTATTTATATTTTAGGGTTTGATGACACTTTCCAGACATAAAAAATTAAAGGAACTTTCTCTATCTGAGTGTTATAAAATCACCGATGTTGGAATTCAGGTACGATAATTAAGGTCTTCTCTTAAAGAATTATGGTTAAAATTTAAGCACAAACTGAACAAACATTATAGGTCAGAGTAGAAAAAATAAGTGGATTATAAATATCCTGATTGAGACAAGGTAAACTGGACTTTAGACAGGTCTCCATAGCCTAAGGTGACTAAGGGAATTTATTTTCTCGTTTTTCCTCTCTACTCTCTCTCTTCCCAGTGTTAGACTCATGGGATAAATAAGGACTAACAACTTCCATATAGGACAAGGTTTTAACAAAAGGGGTTACAAAACATTTAGATGCCTGTAATCTACTAAGAGAAAAAGCCAAAAGGTTTTTCTAAGGTTAAACAATGATTTACCCTACTACAGTTCATTTAAAAGTTAAACGTACATTTACATAAAACTTTATCCATGAATACGATAAAGTCAGGCTCTTAAAACGTCTTTGACAAGGTGACAGAACAAAGGTTATTAAAATAAAACAGTTAAATATTAACATTTCTAATACTGGGCTAACTATATATATATTTAAATATATGAAATTTATTTTTAAATTGGTTTCCATACAACACCCAGTGCTCATCCCAGAAGATGCCCTCTTCAATACCCATCACCCACCCTCCCCTCCCTGGGCTATATTTTTTATATGGTGATCGATTACACTGGAAACCTAGCATGGTGATGACATGGACTCTTAACATACACCAATTACTAACTAATTTTTAAAATATTCCATGGGATGAGAAAGTGCTGATCAAAATATGAGACTAGGGGCACCTGGGTGGCTCAGTCAGTTAAGCATCCAACTCTTGGTTTCAGCTCATGATGAGTGGTTCATGAGATCGAGCCCTGCATCTGACACTTTGCTGACAGTTCAGAGCCTGCTTGAGATTCTGTCTCCCTCTCTCTCTGCCCCTCCCCTGCTTGTGCTCTCTCTCTCAAAAATAAATAAGTAAACATTAAAACAAACAAAACAAAATACGAGGCTAAGTATTAGGAAGCCAGAGCTTTTTGCCATTTCTCTTTGACTCTATGGGTTCCAGGCATTTTTATTTTCGGTCCTTGAAACCTGAAAATTACACTATTTTTAGACACTCTTAGACTTTAAATAAAAGCCTTCTTCCATATGCTAACTACATGATCATTCAGATGAGTGGAAAAAAATGTGATTTTTTAAAAAATTGGCATGTATTTTTTCAGCGATCTAGAAGAGAAAATAAAAAAAGGGAATACAGGAGCACGGAAATACAGAATTATTTAATTATTAGTTACATAAGATCAGCTATTCTATTCAAGTTCACAAAAACTTTTTTTTCTCTTTCTCCTGCTTTTGGTGTGTATATGTATGTTGTGGCTGTTAATCAGTTTTACCTTTCTAAGGTTCCCAGTATACTCATACTTCTGGGCATATGACAATCTTTCTCCTCTGTGCCTCCTCCAGCCCAAGTATTAAGTCCCCAAAGAGAGGAGACAAAGAAGGTGAGAAGAGAAAATGACACAGAAACCTATTTCACAACTCCTTATTTGGATTTACAAAAGAGAGGGGAAGGGAGTAAAATAAGGTGATTATATTGAGATATTTACATTATCCACAATTTATCAGGAATTTGCTTTCTTGTTACTTATAAAAGGTAACTATGGGAGATTCTCTTTTTAGCACAAGACATTGAAACTTACATTCAACATCATGATTTAATGAAAAAAATGAGATAAACATTTTTACCCTGGTTAGGTTTTGCAAGAGGCATGAACATAATCAGAATAAAAAATTACCTCATTTTAGTGTTTAACTGGAAACCGCAGCACATGCAGATTAAGTGTCTGGAGTCTCAGATGTACTGACTTAGGATCTGGTTTTAATTACTTCTTCCAGCTTCAGTCTTTTGTCTGAGAACATTAGACATTTAGTGATCATGTTAGACTAAAATTATTTGGTGCTCTTCAAAGGCACACGCATTTTGGAAAAGATGTTTGATGCAGTCATAACTGAGCATTTCTCAGGAAAACTTCTCCTTGAACATTTTATGAATTTAATTAAATAACAAACTGTCAAGTTTGGCAAAATAATTGGTTTAATTGGGATGTTGCAATATAGAGAAAATGGAAGTTGTCTTGTTACTTGGATAGAACCAATGGAACAAATGTAATTATTTACTCTAGTTGCTTTTATTTTTCTCTAGTTGCTTTTTCTACTCCCTTTATCTCGTTTATATTTCTCATTCCCTGTTTTTGGAATGAAGTATGCTGTAAATGCATTTTTGTAATGGTCATATATACGACCATATGTAGGTCCTTTGCAGCTAGACAAAATTTTTTTATTATTTCCGTGTTTGTAAGTTGAGGTAGCTGTTTAAGAAAGGGCATTGGAGAGGAAAAAATCAAGGTTAGTTATGACTTACCACAAGGGCTTACACATGTATATGCAGGGAAAAGTGTGCGTACATATGTGCTTACATGTAGATATGTATGTAAATGTATACCTATGTATAGTATATGTGTGCAAATTAAATGTGTATACGTTTTAGCATATGTTAGATTGCATGTTTACATGCAACTATGTGTATATCTGCATGTCTGGTATATGTGTGTAAATTAAATATGTGTACACATTTTAGTGTATGTTAGATTACACACATATAGAGATGCTGTAAGATTATATATTTCTAGGCTAAGACCAGATAGTTAGTGATCAATATTCAAAGCAAATCATAAAAATTAGTCTGTTAAATAATTATCTTTTTGTTTATATTTTAATTTTAAAAATTAAATATCCATGTAAATTAAAAGGATCTTTTCTTACAAAAGTGTATAGACTAGCTCTCTGATAGCAAAGGCAATGGATATAATATTGGCAACGTGGGCCTAGCTATCCAAAATCCTTATTTTTATCCTGATTCTGCCTCTTACATAGCTACATAATCTTATGCACACAATTCACTTAGCTCCACAGCAATTCATTGCTCCCATAGTGGCTATAGTTGTGAGGCAGACAGGAACTAGCACCCTAGAACAGGAGTCATCTTTTCGTATAACCTTTCTGTAACATTTTCCTGTAAGGGTCAGATAGTTTACATTTTAGGCTTTGTAGGCCATACAGTTTGTGGTCACAACTGCTCAACTTTGCTACTGTAGAGTAAAAAACAGCCATAGACAACACATAAATAAATGACAGTGACTGTGTTCCAATAAAACTTTATGGACAAACTTGAATTTTATATAATTTTCACATGGCATGAGATATTATTCTTCTTTTGATTTTTTTCAACCACTTAAAAATGTAAAGGCCATTCTCAGAGTGAAGGCCATATAAAAAACAGTGACAGACAAGATTTGTCCTGCAAGTAAAAATTTGGCAGTTTGCCAAAGTCTGCTCTAGAGTCAGACAGAAGTTTACAGTTTTAGTCTGTCAAGATGTGTGACTTTGGACAAGTTAGTTTCCTCCTCTGGGCCTTGGATTCTTCACTTGTAAAAATGGGTGTAATAATAAAACAGTCTCCCTGTTGTGAGGATTAAATGATATAAAACATCTGAGTACTTAGCATGGTTTCTGACAGAATGCATGATGAATATTGCCTATTACTATGATTATTATTTTATTTAATGAAATAGAAACTAATATATACTAGTAAATAAAAAATAAGCATATTTGGCATAATAGTTTGATAATTTGTTTACCTTAGTTAACCAGAGTCAGAAAGCAGGTAATCGTGACAGCCAAACTACTCTAATGCTAAGGAGATAGTTTAGAATATGTTCTTGGAAGAAACAGCTTATTAGTTTTTACTTCTATGAATGAATCATGTATTTTTCAGAGGCACTTAAATATAAATGACTAAATAAATTTACATATGTAAAAGCATTTAAAAAATCTAGAACACTACATAAATACAATTGCTATTTTCTTGAAAATAGAATAAGAGAACAAACCAGTTAAAAAGAAATTGGATCGCTGTTTTTCACTGGGATTATGATATTAAACATATGTTTTCAATATGCATGAATTTTCTCTTGAGACTTCTTTGACCCATGTTTATTTAGAAATGTGTTGCTCAACTTCTGAATATTTTAGGATTTTCTAGCTGTCTGTGTGATTTCTAGTTTATTTACTTTTTTTTAAAAAAAATATTTATTTACTTATTTATTTAGTGATTTCTAGTTTAATTCCATCTTACCCTGAGAGCATATTTTGTCTGATTTCTAATCTTTTTTGTTAAGGTGTTATTATGCAGGAACACTATTTGTGTGGTAGTTAGATGTGTTGTGGGAGGTCTCATTCTATATTCATATGATTAAGTCTCAGTCTTCAAATGGGCCTGTGTCCCAGGACAGTGACCTTTACAAGTGCTTCCAACCCCTCTCCCTGCCTCTGCTACACTGAGGTAAGACAATAAGGTGAGAGGGGCTGGATTTGGGTATTTCCCTGACCCTTTGCTGGATTGGCTCTCATAAAACCCGTGTTGGGTAGGTTCTGGTAAAACAGTATCCCTTGAGGTCAAGCTTTTGTTAATGAGAACAGATGTTCTGGAGGTATCTTACAATGATTACTTTCCCTCTCCCCATGTAGGAAGCATGAGGGCATTTTTCTCTGATCTTCATCCTGAGAACTTGGTGGGTCTCCTGGATAAGCTCATGAAAGCATGGGGGCTCAGCTAAGGCTGGGCCCCAGAAACTTTTCTCTCCAACTAATCTACTCTCAGTTTCTGGCAGTTAGTCAATAGCCCTTTAAATGTTCCAGCTGATACTGGCTTCAGCCACCGGCTTCTGCTCCTAGTAAGCCCTGATTCTCTGTATTCACCTGTCTTTCCAGTTTTCAGAGTGTGGTTTGCTTTGTGACCACAATTATCCGACAGATCTAAGAAGAGTTGTTGATTTTCAGTTCACTCACCTTTTTTCTTCTTTTGAGGATAGAAGCGATAAGTTCCAAACTCTCAGGACAGACTGGAAACTGCAAGTCTGGAACATTGCTTCTGGATTCATGGATGCTGGCTGAATCAATAACAACCAAAAGGGATGATAAATGTAAATTAGGCCTGAATCAGACCTTTAGAGTCCAGGAATGAAGTCAGGAACTGGAGGGCTCAGGAGCCAAGAGCAGAAAGCTATTGGCGAGCTGGGCAGGTAGGCAGCCATCAGTGCTGAGCACTGCCCTTGGCGTTGGGAGCTTGCTCTCTTTGAACTCCCTGCAGTGTGCAGCCTGGTGAGCTAGCTGTGCTCATTAAGACAGAGCCTACGGCTGCCTCGAAGTTCAGGTACTTTGGTCGTGTCCATTCATAAAGATTCTTAAGTTTCCTTAGTACAACCCCAGGATTTGCAATCACTGAGTTGGCAAAAACTGAAATGATTAAGTTCAACGTAGATGAATAACTCCATGCCTTCATGTAAGAAAATATTCAAATTGTCTCATTCAGATTTATTTTGTGAAAATCTTGCTCAGTGATTGAACTAAGAACATGTGAACTGGATTTTCTATGCAGTGGACACTGAGGTAATCTGTCAGTTTTTTGAAAACAAAAATCATTCTAAAAATTTTTTTAATAAGTCAAGGCCTAGTCAAATAGGTAGGCTTATAAAAAGAAAAATCCAATACCATGTGCTGATTGTTGGCTAATGTTAATTTAGCATGTACTATATGCAAGGCATGTTCTAAGTATTTCCTGTGTATTAATTAAGTACTTTATGAAGTAGGTAATACTTTTAATTCGATTTTATAGATAAGGAAATCGAGGTTCAAAGAGGTTAAGAATTTTGCCCAAAGTCATGAAACAAATAAACACATGAGCTAGGGTATAATGTCTAATTCCAAAGTGATAATTCTAGCTATTATAATGTAATAAAGAAATCTCCAGAAGGATTCAGTTGTGGTACTTAATTTAGCGTGGGAATGCCAGGGAAAGCTTACCCACTGGAAGATCACTTTAAGAAGAAATGTGGAATTTAGACTGAAGGGTAGAGGGGAGAGAGGACAGCTCTCAAGATTTATAGAAAGAATATAAGGTAAGAGGATTTTATTATAGTCCAGGAGAGAGAGAGTGGCAGGCCTACAAGGACAGTAACAGTGAGACTAGAGAGAAGGGAATGGATTGGAGAACATTTAAGTAGTAAAATCCATGGAACTGTTGAGTTTCAGTAGGCTTGGAAGTGAAGACATGGTTACGGATGACATCCGTCCATCTGACTTGGCTGCCTGGGAGATTTATGGTACCCTCGTTTTCAAGCTCTTTCCCATAGCTAAGTCATGTAGCCAGTGCTATGAACTACCAAGTCCTATTCAGTATTTTGACGTTTAGTTTTGCACTTTCTCTTCTTTGTGAGTGATTCTGTCTGTGCTTCCTCTCTAAGCTCTCTTTACCCTTTATACTCAGGACAGAGTCCCCTTTCCCACTCTTTCAATCCATAGGCTTGTAGTGGCTGCAGGCAGGCTAAGGGAGCTCTGTTGGAATATGTTTTTACTCTACTTACAGGTAATTCAAAGGTTGTAGTTGTTCTCTGTCTTCTAATAGGGAGAATATGGGTACTGTGTAGTTTTGTTTGTTCCCTCTATAGATTTTATGGTTTGGGGAGGAGGAGAAGATTCAGACTTAGATAAATATCACTGTTCTTCAAACCCAAACATGGTCTCTTCTTACCTTTTATTATGTGTATATACATACATATCTCAAAAGACTCTCTAATAGAGATGGATATCTGTGTTTTAAAGCCCTGCAGCCAGAATGCAGTGGGCGTATTTATAACTACATAGGAAAAATAAGAGGCATGTGGTAATGGTTCAGCCTTATCTACTCTCTAGTGTCTTTTCTGCCTGATTTGTTGCATATATATGCTTCTCAAGCAGTTTACTGACATCTCCCAAATGGCACCACTGATGAATTTTAAAAACCTAGTTGTAGCCTAGGATAATGTCATATTCTCTGATGATCACAAAAATATTTGACAACTTTTGTTTATGGGATATAAGCAGTGGTAGAGATGCTAGAACATCCACTTCTCTCACTGTTCTCTTACAGTCTTTCTTTTTTGAGACCCTTAATCTTGACCTAGTGCTTGGACACTTGAGATTACGAGTTCTTTTTGTCTTTTAACCTTTAACATCTTTTATCCATTCTCTTGTTACAAACTTTTGATTTTATTTTTTATTTGACCTTTACTTTGTAACTGATTTATCTTGATTTGTAAATAGAGATGTAGAGAAGAGGGATCAAGGAATAAGGATTGGGAAGGGTGGCTGCATGGGTGAATCAAGAGCTACTCTATGGCTGGGAGAGCAGCAGACTAAGATCCATTACTATTCAATTGGTTTTCAGCCCAATCCAGGACTGTTCAGCAAGTCAAGGGGTTCTGTAGATGTGAGGCTGCTCCAGGCTGAGTCAAAGTGGGGACCGAGGTCTCAGGGTTCTCTGTCCTGTATCCTGCATTACCTGTGCTAGAGAACTGAAACTCTTATAACTGAGGAGCATACATGGATACTCAAGTCAAAAAGGCCTAGGAGTACCTGCAACATTCAGCAACATTTCTGAGTCCTCCTCTCCAAGAATGGCCCATTAACAGTCTCTTTTGGACATTTCTCTATAAATTGTAAGAAGAACTGGGTTCATGTCTTGACCTAACATCCACGTCGGGTTCATTCTTACCTAGGAGCAAGTGGATTATGCTCCAGAGACTCTTTTCTGATCTCAAACTCTTACTTTGAATCACTAAACTTTCTGACTAGTTATAAAATGTTGCTCATGCAAGATTTTCATCAATCATTCTCATCAGTTGAAAGACTCCACCCCCTTGGTGGTTTAGAGGTTTTAGTGGCCTTTGACATGTACTGACTTATAATGCCAAAGATGGATTAGATGTGTTGGTTCCACATAGCAACAATTTTTTAAAAAACCAACATTGATTTCTATTTGGTTTCTAAGATTAAATCATTCAAAAACTGTCAAAGTATGAGATTTCAATAACTCCACCTCTTCTCCAGGGATATAGTTATGTTTATGGGCTGTGAGGGAAGCAACAAACAGAGGATCCTTTTCCAAAATGGCTTTACTCTTTGGCCTTTGATACAGTGGAAGCTCTGAAATCTTCTGTGTGGGGAGATAGGACATTCAGACATCTGGACACTGTTTCTTGGCCATACTGCTCATTAAAATTCTTTGCCTCCTCCAATATTCCAGGTTACTATTAGGAAATAAGTGACTAAACTCTCTGTGATGAAGATCCCAGAAGGTCCCAGGTGTAGAATCATTTTACAGGGTTTGGGGAGAGGAAACTATGGAATTCCTGTGGTAGAATTAAGAGGAAGGTATCTGCTACCTTGTGGAAAAAGCAACTCCAACAAAACCTAGAGCAACTAAGATCTTTGTTACAGAAATCTGTGCTTCATAGATATCCATACCAAGAACTGTCTCCTAGAATCTATAATAGAACAACATAACCAACACACCTAAGACACTTGGAATTAACAGAGAGTCACAAGGTCCCAGAAGACACTTAGGCATTATTCTCTCTACCTAAGGCTGTGAGCAAAAGAAATAAGCTCAGTATTCTCTGTTGTTCCTCAACCTAGTGTGTTCCCAATTGTGGAGGCAATTCAGTAGAATTAGAAATTTGCAAGACTTCAAAGGATGTGGGATTTGACAGCTTGTTGTTTTCCCACAGTCTGTAAGGTTCCAAGGGATACTGGAGTCATGGGTACCATGTTTCTTTGGCTGATAAATAGCCGAAACTGAGAATACCCAACACCAATCCTGGCTTCTTGCCCTCTCCCACTGGGGAGAACTATTTTTGGATAAGTGAAGCAGATAGACTTGCTAAATGAAAGCACACATCTGTTATTTTCATGTTGAGCATCCACAGAGAAGAACTATAAGAGAATATGTCAAAAGGAAGATAATCCTTTGGAGGACTCTCCCAACATGTAAGCTGTCCCTGGAACATGAGTTTATCCTGTGTAAGATGAAACTTGCCAAAAGTTAAATAAGAACTGTCAGATTGTATGAAGGTAAAAAAAAAGGGGGGGGGGCACAAAAACTAAACATCAAAATTCCACTTTTCCACAAGAGTATGAGTTTATGCTTCTTTTGCTTCTTAAATATAAGTGGCCAATCTGTGTTTGATCTTTCTGTCATGTAGCGTGCCTAGGCCTTGCTTACTAAGCCTCACCTGACATGAACTGAGTACCTGTGGCATATCTCACACAAGCTATGATTTTTCCACATTATGACTTCTAATTGTCCTCTCTCTTAGCTTCCAGTTAAATTTAGCACATGACATTTCCTCATCTGAAAGCCTTCAACATATGGAAGATAGTGAGGATGTGCTCTCAGGGGTCTTAAATGGCAGACAATATTGTTCTAAGACCTCTCTGGTTCCACTGCTGAGAGGCAAAAACCAAGATTTGTAAAGGGTGCTATGTCTGTCAAGTACTTTTGGAGTACATTATCTTCCAATAAGCCTGTGAGATAGGTTAACGGTTGTTTCCATTTGCTTATAGATGAGACAACTTGAGGTTAAGTAACTTTCTGAAGATCACAAACCCAACTTCAGGCCCCTTAAGTTTTCTGCTGAACCAGTAACCTCCCTTGATTACATCATCTCTTAGTTCATTACCCCCCAAATGGGAGATCAAAGCAGCACCGATGGCTCATGAACTCATTATTTCCTAGAGATCTTTAAATGGAAGAGGTCACAGGAGGACAGTATGACTTAGCCCTCGGAGTGAAAGTTCTGAGTTGCCATTTTCTTGGGAAAGAATGAGAAAGAGAACAAGTGGAGTGGCTGGCTGTGTAAACAGAAACCTATCAATTCTTTCAGGCTGATTAGTATAGCTTAGATAATTTCCCTGCCCTTCTTATCCCAAAGAAACCCCTGGGGAAGTGCCAGGTAACTGGGCCACTGGGCACCCATTTAATTTTACTTATCTTAGAAAAATGGAGAAAGTGTAGGTTATCTTACAGTCCACAAGAGAAATGCCTGATTGACCTTTGAGTAGCCCAAGCTGGGCTTATTTTTATTTTGGAGATAGAGTCTAAAACCTGAAACTATTCTGGAAATTTCTCCCCACAAATTCTAACTCAAGGGTATTTTTTTTGTTATGCTTTTCCAGGTCTTCTTTCCGATATACGTTCTCTTTGAGTGCTTACCCTTTCTGTTGTTTAATTTCCCCACATTTGATCTCTTTTTATGACTACTATTTACCGACTGCTTACTATGTGCCAGCTACTGTTCAGTTGCTGTATTCATATTAACTCACTTAATTCTCCCTACAAATCCATGACGTAGGTGTCATATTAAGGTACCATGTTATTCTCCTGTTGCAGATGAGATCATTGAGGAATTGAGAGGTAGGGTAATTTATCCAGAGACACAAACTTCTAAGTGGCAGGATATGAACTTAGGCTGGTGGACCCCAGACTCTGTGCTCTTAGCCACCTTCAGAACTGCAGTTATTAAACAGGGTGTGAGGAAGGACTGGACTTAGTGTCCTAAGAGCAATCTATGGGAGCTCATTTTCCTTACTCCTGTGCTAAGCAGCATTTTCCATTCCCTTCGGACACTCTCTCATCTTGAACCTCTTTTGCATGCTAGATGTTGGGGCCGCAAGAGTTAAATTAGACATGGATTCTGCTCTCAAGAAGCTGCAGTCAATGCAGGAGATAAATTATGTAAATAGCTACAATACAAGTAGAAAGTGAGAAAGACAAAAAAGTTAAAAGCTATAGGGATTTGGAAGAGGCATTTCTTCCAGAGGAAGGAACTGGGGAAAAGTTTGTGGAGTTAGCCACATTTGAGCTGGCTTGAACTACAGCTTATCTCCCAAATCACCATATAATTCGGTAACAAATTGCATCATGAAAGCATCTTCGGAAACTCCTGTTTTAGGTTTTGGCCTTTGCCCTTTAAGAATCCCCTCCATATTTACTAAGCATACTGAGAAGTATGCTGAGCCTTGCTCAGCCTGGTTTCCCTGGCAGGGAGAGTGGGAATACAGGAAAGGCATTTTGCTAGCAGTGAGGCGTTGGGCTCTGTAGAATTTAGTTCTGGTGGCAATGCCCAGATTTCCCAGCTCAGTGTGCCCTGGCCACATCTACATCCATCTGCTCTAATGCCTAGTGAAAGCAAGTCTATGTTTGGTAGGATATAGGAGGCCCAACAAACTGAAGTTTTGAATTCAGTTTATAACTTAAAATTGTAGACGTTGTACTTTAGCCTTTTTTTTTTTTCAACGTGTTTTTATTTATTTTTGGGACAGAGAGAGACAGAGCATGAACGGGGGAGGGGCAGAGAGAGAGGGAGACACAGAATCGGAAACAGGCTCCAGGCTCTGAGCCATCAGCCCAGAGCCTGACGCGGGGCCCGAACTCACGGACCGCGAGATCGTGACCTGGGTGAAGTCGGACGCTTAACCGACTGCGCCACCCAGGCGCCCCAGAAAATGGTTTTTGACATTACAAGATTTCCCCAAGATTTTTAATTGGGAAAAAGAAAAAATGAAGCAAATAGTCCAAAAATGGGTATGCACCACGAGGGGGAGCTTTTTTGAGACCGACAGCTGCCACCTGTTGAAGTGGCTTAAGTCAGGATTTTGGCAGAAGTACATTATTGTGACAATCAATAAATGTTAGTGGAACTCAGTCTCCTCTACATACCCAGTTTAGGAATGTAGTCAGTAAGCCTTCCCACACTATGACTCAGCTGCGAAGATAGACAGAAGAAATGATTTAAAGACATTTGGAAGTTTTCTTCAAGATTGTTAACCCACAGCAAAACTGGTTGATATGTGGGATGGGAGCCAAACTTGATAACTTTTGTATTTTCTCCCCATTTTCACTGTAAAATATTTCATCTTAGAAGAAGGTTAGTCTGACATTTTCTAGGAAAAGAAAATCAACAGCATTGATAAATATATATGAATCTGTGTCACTGGAGCCAGAAAAGCATAAAATAATCTTATCGGTAGGGGAGAAATGGAATTTCATGAGTGGTTATGTTGAAACATGCCTGCAGACTTAACTTACTTATGACTTATATGTGTCTTAAGGAAAATGTGAATTACAAAGAGAGGAGAGGGTCTGACTGACCTCTCAGATCTGCACTGACTTATGCCAAGCATAAAGCCTGAGACCAGTCTTTATGCCTCAGATTTTCCATGGATGAAAATGCTACCATGAGAGTATCATAGACCTTCTAATATGTTTTTATGTTATTCTTTAATTTTAAAACCTCTGAGAAAGTTCAACTTCAAAGACTATTAGAGGTTTGTTTTTTGTTTAAGACTTAAAGCAGAACTGATTCAAGCAGTGCAAGACATTGACAGATGTTACTGAAAGGGTTTTCAGACACTAAGTGCCTTGAATCTCCCTTCAAATTTTGTTTCATCTTTTAATAAATTATTCTTAGTTTAAATATTCCTTCCCGCCTTGAATTTTCTATGGTTCCCTGAACTCTGTCCATTTTCTAAGTAGAAAACAATGTTACCTTACTCCTTGTGACATAAGAATTCCTGTATCATTAAAACAGAATTCTTTATATTCTCGAAGATGCTTATAAAGGATGGATCAACCAACTAGTATTTATTGAGAACCTACTGCATCCTATATATGATCTTGTGAAAGAGGGTATAAAAAGCTAGCAGAATTCCACACAATACCTCTGAGAGACTTACTGCATTCTCATTGAAAAAGCTGTTGAATCTCCAAGCTGAGATTTAAGACCAATCATTCCAGTCCTTCAAAGTCAGATTCCCCTTGCACCACCACTGGGCATTCTCTCTATGCTTGATTATCTCCAATGACAGGGACGTCACTATCTCATGACAAGCTGCCCTTTCCAATTTTTGTCATCACTTAGTTGCTAAAGAAGACTGATCTCCATACGAAGTTAGCCACAATACAGGAGTAAATCAAATACTGTAACTGCTGAATCAATTGAAGAAGACAAATTCTGCATGAGGTCAGAGGAAAAAGGAATCACTGTTGGCTATTCTGGTCAGGAAAAGATCATGATTGAGGGTTAAATCACCAATATCTTTTAGTACTATTTTTTACTTCCTATGCTAAACTGCCTCTCATGGAAATTTTGCCTCTTTTATAACTTGCTAAAGAAAATAGTGGGCTGACTAGTTTTTTCCAGTCTTCCTTAGGGCTAAAATGATGGGAAACTGGCATAGTCAAGTGGGAGGGAGGCCCACTGGTTGTCTTACCTCTGGAGTCATCCTGATGGCATCAAGTGATCCAACAGCCCAGGTCCTTCCCTCAGTTCTGAAAGGAAAATGACATGTAGTCCAATGGACATCCATTTTTACATACAAATAAGCAACGCCTTATTAGTAAGCCACTAGTTACTAAAATCTAATATTAATGGTAAACTATCATTTACTGAAGTCTCTAATTTAGTACTTTAAGAATTTGAGCTGTTTTCCAATAAGGAAAAACCTCTAAAGTGACTAAGCACATGTTGATAATTTCTAATTTTTATAATTTGGGGGAGGGACTTTTGTTAAGTACAGTATCTGGAATTGGTATATCTGGAATTGGTCATGTTTCTAATTCCTATTCATCTTAGTATATTTTTACAACAGCAATTTTACTTTTGTGGATCATTTTGTTTTTGTATAACTGCTTGGTTGTAAACTTTTTCCTCATGGATTCTTCTTATCACTCAGTTCTTGTCTTTATTTAACTGAAAAGTGAGAATGAAAATTAATAACTACTAAGGTAAAGGGAAGAATTTCCAATTATTTCCAGGATTTTTCTAGCCCTAGAAATTTCAGATGAACATTTTGGTATCTCAGAACAATGCTAGAGGGTGGATATTATTTTCCCTGATTTAAAAAAGAAGAAACTAAGGCTCAGAAAGATGGAGTTGCTAAGGTCTGCCTGATTCCAAAGACCGTGGTCTTCCCACTACATTACCCCACAGTGTCTGCCATCTAATTCTCCCCTCTAGATTCTTTTCCTCCACTCATTTGGCTGAATATAACTTTAATAATTACTAACCATATGGGTAAAATCTCAGCGCTAATGTCAGGAATACCAAATTCCGCTAACAGGAATTTGTATACTACTAAGCTGTTAGGCTGGTGTGTGAATATCTTTTGTTTTTAAAAAAAATGGATGTAATAGCTTTTTCTTCTTTTTTTTTTTTTTCAACAAGATGTAACACATCTATACTTCAGGGACTGACATGCATACTAAGCAAGCTGCTGTGGGTAAGATGGCTCTAGATGAATAAAGACTAAGAGAAAAAAAAGAAAAAAAAATCTTTGACTTTGAAATTTCTTGCAGGCGTTCTGCAAAGGCTCACTGATCTTAGAACACTTGGATGTCTCTTATTGCTCCCAGCTGTCAAATGAGATTATTAAAGCACTGGCCATTTATTGCGTTTCCCTCACATCTCTCAGCATTGCTGGCTGTCCAAAGGTAAGTGCAGGAGTCAGAGCTCAGATGTGTCCAGTTGAAACACAGACAAGGAACCCAGGCAGGGTAGCAGTCAGGGGTCAGTGTCATCATAGAATTTGTTTTCTTTGCTATGCCTGAGGTATTCATTACATTTTTTTTCTCTTTCCTCAACTGGGAAATGGCTTTATGATTTCATTTGTGTTAAAGTAGAATTTTCAAAAAGTTAAAACAATTCCCATTCAAATATAAAAACGTGTCAAGATTTATGAATTCATTAATGAGAGGACCAGCAAAATGGTAAAACCAGATCATACAGCATTTGATCAAACTGGATATTTATAGGAACTGAAGAAAAAGAATGTTGGAATATGATTTTTAGGTTAGATCCAAAGGTGGTTAATGTCCTATAAGGTAATAAATCCATAACCTTGGATTTATAGTTTCTACCAGAAAGAAATAATTTTCATCTCCCATGGACAAAAATATTACAAGTTATAACATGTAACTTCATCGACTTTAGGCCCTAACCGGTACTAATTAATATGCCAAACAAAGACATAATTCCTTATAGAATTCCTCTGGTGAGCCTGTTAAAGATGTTCCAGTATGACACTGAAAATACATGTAATCATCTTCATTCTTATTTCTAGTGTTTGATAATTTTTTTGACATCTGTTTATAAAAGAAATATGCACTTATTGTAAAATCTCTGGACTACATATAAAAACAAAAAGGAGAAACTAAAAATCTGTTGTCATACCACCATCCAGACATAACCAGTGTTGGCATTTTATACTTATCTTCTAGAACTGTTTCTATGTACACAGAGATTAGAAATAGTTATAGAAGGTTTGTTTTTGTCTTTTTTTTTTTTTTAAGAATAGAATCATACTTTCCAAAAGACATTGTAGCCTACTTTCTTTTTCTTTATACACTATGGACATATTTCCATGTCAAGAAATAGAGATCTCTGATTCTGGATTAATACGGTAGATTGAATATACACATAAAATTTGGTTCCCTCTTAAAACCTTATAGACCTACAGAAGAACTGTTGGTAGGGAAAACAGAAGAGACAAGATCAAGAAAGTTTTGGAAGCTTGAAACCAGATCGACCAATAGAATTTAGCAGACAGAGGCAGTTTTGAATCCTAAGCCAGCAACAGAGAAAACTGTGGGGGAAAAGATTGATTTATACCATGATCTTCAAACTTGGTGGCACTGTTTACCTTTGGAACTGGGTGGAGAGGGTGGCTAAAATAAGGAAGACTGGGTTAAGAGTTCTTGAGAAGTAGACAGATCCTAGATCTCCTCCTCTACCTCACACCTCTGGGCAACTACCCTTCTCTACCTTCACCAAAAGACTGGATACTTATTTCCTAAATTTCCCAGATTTCTCAACCCTGGCATTATTGATATTTTGGATGAGATAATTCTTTTGTAGTGGGGGGTTATTCTGTACATGGCCCTGTAGAATGTTTAACAGCATTCTTTTTTTTAATATGAAATTTATTGTCAAATTGGTTTCCATCCAACACCCAGTGCTCGTCCCAAAAGGTGCCCCTCCTCAGTACCCATCACCCAGCCTCCCCTCCCTCCTATCCCCCATCAACCCTCAGTTTGTTCTCAGTTTTTAAGAGTCTCTTATGCTTTGGCTCTCTCAACAGCATTCTTATTCTCTACCCACTATATGCCAGTAGCACCAGGTCCCCTCCACCCCCTTATTGTGACAATAAAAAATGTCTCCAGATAATGCCAAATGTCCTCTGGGGGGCAAAATTGCTCTATTATTTGTTCTACCGATAGTAAAATAGTGGCTTGCTGGGCTGGAAGATACCATGCAAATTCAGAGTTTGAGTACAACAGTGAAAACAGGAATTCAGTGACTGAATGCCAAATGCAGAGACACTCAACAGCTATTCCAACATAGCATCCAGAATGTGGCTGCCAGACCTTTCCCTCCAGGCAGGAGACTGAAAGCCTGTTCTCTGGAGACTCTGACTAGCACAAGATGAAAGACAGAAAAATATTGACATTTGGAGGTTTACCAACTAATAATCCATAGAACCATTGAAGCTTTAGGTAGAGAAGGCCCACATCATACACATAACCCTTCCAATCAGTGTGTAGCCCTTCTGCTATTAATAAATAGCAGACAGCCAAGGATTACCAGACATAATAGAAAAGCCTCTAAAGTGGAAGATAAAGACCAAAACAAATTAATAGGAAAAACTTGGGGGAAACAAAATATGCAGAGGGAAGAAAACTAAAAAGTCTTTTTAAAAAATCCTCAGAAACTATATGACCATTAACAACCTGTTGTCTTCTGTTGTGCACACTGATGGGCTTCTTTTTAGTAAAGCACCACCCGAAATCTCAAGATACCCTGCATTCTAGCTTGTCTAAAAAGTCAGCTTCTATGTGGTTAGTGGATTAACTGAAGGATGCTAGAAACTCCTAATTCCTCCATAGTTAACTGTGCTGTAGTAAGGAGGAGAAGGCAGTGGGGGGAAAGATGTGGTAAATCATGACAAAATTAATCTAGAAAGTTCACAACAAAATTCTTGTTTAATAATGTACTTGTTTAGAACTAGAGAAACCAAATGCCTTATTGGTCAGCATCATCTGGCTCTAGAAGTAGGTCAAGGAACTAAGCATACTTAGCCACACTGACCATGGACCCTCTGCAGCGTTCTTGTTTTCATTGCACACAGACACGTGGACACATGGGCAACACATGGCTCACTGTGAACTGCCCTGGCCACAAAGCAGATGCAGATGGGGGCTGGGCCTCTTAGTGGCTCTATTAATTAGAGGGGAAAGTAGGAGAATAAGAGAAGTAAAGACTCTGGTGAGAATAGGAATTGGGCAGAGGATTTTTTGTTTGTTTGTTTTGTTTTTGCTTTTTGGTAAGGAGAAGCTGAGGGAATTTCTTCTATACACTGTGCAGTGGATACTGTCTTGCAGCCTAGAAACTAAGGAGGATGTTACACAAATAAGATATTATAAAACAAATCACCCTATATCAAAGATCTAGCGTGAAAAAAAGGAAAGGGAGTAAATTATTCTAGAACCTCAATGTAAAAGAGAAGAAGGGTTTAGCTTTACTACCACTGTGAGTCAAATAAGTATCTTCATTCAGAAGATGTGGTGACCATAATTTGGGCCAATAGGAATACTCCTCATTGAGAAATCATAAAGCTATGGTCCAGTCTAATATATTCTACCTACATTGGTTTTTTAAATTAAATTCAATTAATTTTTAAATTCCAGTATAGTTGACATACAGTGTTATATTTCCACCTACATTGCTTTTGATGAGCTATAAAACACATTAGTGTCTGGCTCATCATCCTAGACTAGGTTTCTCAAAAGCCCATGGGTCAATCTTGCATGGTCACTTATCCATCTCCTGGAAGGCCAGCTTTTTCTTGCAACCAGCCAACCTCCAAGGTTGGTAAGTAGTACTGTGACCCCACCCTTCCCAGTGCTAAAATGGGAATAATAGAATCTCTGCTCAGTAGGACTGAGATCAGGACTGGGAGCTAAGAATTTACCCAGTCACCTCCACCTCTAGTTCCCAGCCCTATAAGTCCCAACAACATCTGTTCAGTCATTAAACATCTTGAGCTTCTGATCTACAGGAAATGTCAGGCTCCTTTTTCACTCCTTCAGAATCAATAAAACGTAGTGCTCTGATCTCTACCTGTCCTGGACTTTTCTATCACCTCATTGTCTTGCCTATAATTCTGAGGGCTTTTTTTCCCCCCAATGACATCAGATCCTCAGAGACCAAGATAGTATGGCAAGAATGTATGGAGGTATTTTTGTGAGAATCAGGCACAATGTTAAACCTTGGTCCTGAACGTGTTCTGAAAACAGGTCATGCTTAGACAATGACAACATCTATTTTCCAAACTTGGAAAGTGTACATTTCAAACTGAAGAGTTTTCTACATAATTTCCTCAACTTTATATTAAGAACAAGAGCCAAGCCTCATGGCATGTGTTTTAGAATGTTCAAACATTTAAAATAAGAAATTAAATCCAGTTGGAAAAAAAATTCCTTTGAGGAAAGTAATCTCACTGATTTCACAGCAAGTCTTAGTACAGCTGTGAATTCAAAAGCTAGACCTTGAGTAAATAAAATAATCTAAGAATTAGAGAGTTGAATTATCTCTGTATAACATCTGGGCAAACTCTCAAGATATTGGAACCCTCAGCAGAATTTCTCAGAGTCAGATTCATGCAGTGTCTGTGGCTTCTGGTTTCTTCCCCTGCCTACAAACATCTGTTTCATCTACTTGTCCTCTTCCAGAACCATTTTACTCTACACACAAACCAGCAGAGATGTCCAGATCCCTTCTCATGGCAATTTGACCTTGTCTGTGGTTTAACTTCAGGGAATATATATATTTTATAGCTTTGCAACATGTTATATTATTAAACTTAGTTTTCTAAATTGATGATGCCTTAGAGTGGATTTCAAGTTTAAAGCCAAATTCCATTACTGCGGCATTTCATAAATTGTTCATATTGGTGTGACGGGTATTACTAAGGAAATTTTGATGAAGTTACCCATCCAAAATAGAGAACTCTAAATATGAAAGTTATAACAGCAAGATCACAAGGTCTATTGCTGCCACCTGAAACATAATTTTAGTGTTCTGGAAATAGTTAAATCACTAACGTGCGTTATAGGCCCATCGTGTGACAAGCTGGGAAGGGTTGTGATTCTGTTTGTTATGGACTCAATTTTTGTCTCCCTCCCTCCTGCCCCCCACATTCATATGTTGAAACCCACATTCTCAGTGTGACAGCATTAGGAAGTAAGGCTTTGGGGAACTAATTAGGCTTAGACTGAGGTCATGAGTGTGGAGCCACCATGATGCAACTACTGTCTTTATAAGAATGGGAAGAAATTAGACCTGTCTCTCTGCCTTGTGAAGATACAGCATGAAAGTAACCATCTGCAAACCAGGGAGAGGGTCCTCACCAGACCCTCAATCTGTGGGCAATCTCATCTTAGACTTCTCAGACTCCATAACTGTGAGAAACAAATGTCTGTTGTTTAAATTATCCAGTCTGTGGTATTTTGTTACAGCAGCCCAAACTGACTGGTTCACTGTTCTTCCCTGGGATGGAGTTCATGGGAATAATCAGTACTTCACTTTGGCTGTGTGTTCAGATTACTGACTCAGCGATGGAGATGTTATCGGCAAAATGCCATTACCTGCACATTTTGGATATTTCTGGTTGTGTCCTGCTTACTGACCAAATGCTCGAGGACCTTCAGATAGGCTGCAAACAACTCCGGATTCTTAAGATGCAATACTGCAGACTTATTTCCATGTAAGTATGAACCTGAAACATGAAAAGCTTTGAGAACTACTTTCTGAGAAAACAGAATACATGACTATGGCATTCGTAATACATAGTGGCTCTCAGAGTTACAAAGTTTCATTTTAGTTTTTGCCTAATTGAAGCCAACATTTTGAGTTGAACCAGGGGAAGCTCTCTTTTTTTTTTTTTTTTTCAACGTTTATTTATTTTGGGGACAGAGAGAGAGACAGAGCATGAACAGGGGAGGGGCAGAGAGAGAGGGAGACACAGAATCGGAAACAGGCTCCAGGCTCCGAGCCATCAGCCCAGAGCCCGACGCGGGGCTCGAACTCACGGACCGCGAGATCGTGACCTGGCTGAAGTCGGACGCTTAACCGACTGCGCCACCCAGGCGCCCCGGGGAAGCTCTCTTCTAAAACTGTCTTTGTAGTTTCGTATCCCTTTCCCACTGGCCCTTCTACTTCAAGGACTTCTCCTTGCTTGACCATGCAGGTATTCAAAGCCTTAACTCTGCTCTTATAGAACTGTCACTATTCTTTCTTTACTCATCTCTCAAAATACTTCCAGTCAGTCAGTCTCCTCTAGGGGTTAAAAATAATTAGATTAAACCAGTTCACAATTAATTATAAATTACTAACAGTTAATCCTAAACCACATCTCTCTCAAAGCTATTTGCCTGATGGTTTTTACTCATTTAGGGATTTCCCTTAGGAGTGAGGTCAGAGTAAAGCATTCTGGCTTGACTGCTACAGCCCAAGTGCTGGTTCCCTCAATCTGCAAAATGTTTCCACTGAAATAAAAGTTGGGGAAATGAGCAATATACACAGGTAGAAGTTCTCAGGTGTCTATCCCGTGAGTTTTTTTTTTAATTTTTTTTTTAAGGTTTATTCATTTTTCAGAGACAGAGAGACAGAGCATGAGTGGGAGAGGGGCAGAGAGAGAGGGAGACACAGAATCCGAAACAGGCTCTAGGCTTCAAGTTGTCAGCACAGAGCCCAACGCAGGGCCCAAACTCACGGATGGTGAGATCACGACCTGAGCTGAAGTCGGATGCTTAACCGACTGAACCACCCAGGCGCCCTATCCCATGAGTTTTTAAATATAAAGCAGTTATTTGCTACATTGTGTAGTTGTTTTCCTATTGACTGAGAGTAAAAATGTGCAAGTAGTTTTAACTGACCTGATGAAGTTACCTGTAAAGTCTTCAAAATGAAAATTCTTGACCAATTCTTGAAGGTCTGGTTCTTTTCTGCAGGCTGGAAAAGTGAATACTAAGAATTAATATTATCAATTATCTAAACACATATATTTCGCAGAGGAACTTGCTTAATTAAGTAGCCCTGGCATGAGCAGAACCATGAGATCTGGTCACTTGAAGCCTGAGGAAGACAATGGTTCCTGATCCAAGGCTGTGTATGTTAAATTAAAACGAAAAAAAGAAAAAAGGACACAAAAATTATTACTTGTAAAATAGGCACTGCCACTGGGACCAGTGGGCCCACAGGGAGGACGGCAGCCAACTGAAGTGGGGTCAGAAATAAAGAAGCAGGTCTTTGAAAAATTTTGAAGAGGAGTGGAGACCCAACCCTCCCTAATAAGTCTGGAGATGACTGATATGGGTGTGATTAACTTCATTGAAAGAGGCTATCATGAAATACGGTCCTAGGAGTCCCTGCCAGCCTTGTCATATCATTAAACAGTGAACTTTGGGTAGATGGCAATGAATGAATAACATATTACACAAAGGAGTCTGGCTTCTAATCTTTTGATTGCATTTTGATAATCACTAGTTTGGGGAGATAATATCACTGAACTTCTAATAAGTGGGATTTTAAGTAAGAATGAAGGAGACTTTCTGGCATAGGTCTCTCTGAACCTAATTATGGTATGGATGTTAAAGTGTGATAAATAATGGTGTTTGGTTAGGGAGACCCAAGATATCTAGTAATATCCTAATGTTGCCTGTGATGGGCTCACTCTCCTCTTGCAAGGTGACTAGGTAAAAAAAAATATGTGAAGAAAACCAAACAAGGCAAAGTAAGATTTTACTAGAAGCTAGGCTTAACCACTAAAACTCAATGCGAAACTCTAGTTAACTAGTTGGATCTATGAAAAATTCCTTTACCTAAGCTAGGACAGTGAAGTCATCTTTTGTTTTCTACCACCAAGCCTGGCTGTCCCTACTAGCAAGAAGCAGAGATATGGTCCTAATGCTTAGAAGGGAACTGGCTTGTCTGTCCATCTCATCGTCTAAAAAGGCCAGACTACTTCAGTCTCCCTCATAGCCCCACCCCTGCTAAGCTCCAGCAGGAAAGAGGCCTAGAATGCTCTGATTCTATCTTTGTCTAGCAATAAAGAAGGGCAGTCCCCACAGCAGAGTGGTTTGGAGAGTCCCAGCATTTGGACTAGTAAGGTTCCAAGAGTGCTTGTCTTGACTCCCAACTTCTAGGACAGGGTACTGTTGTTTAGCCAAGGAGCTCCCAAGATACCTGGTCCTGAAAACTTTGATTAGAGAAGTGGTAAGGCCTGGCCACTTGCAGCTGTTTGGAGTCAGCTCTGAGGACTTTAAAGCAGCTTCCTTCTCTGCTCAAATCCTTGGTGGAATTGGAAATGCTACACAAAATATGTGGCCCCTTCAAGACTCAAGTTCATGATGTTGTTTAATCCTTTGCTTATCTATGTTCACTCTAAAAAAGCATAGTTGTTTGCTCTTACCAGGGCTAATGTGGCTCCCTCAACTGCAGTGGCTATTTTGTCTGGGTGAAATGGAACATTTGGTAGTTGAAATAGAGGAAATTGTTCATACTTGGGAAGACGTTCAATGACTTTGAATCACAAAGTGTTGAACTTCCACACATTTGATTCCATTTGAACATGAAAATATTGTATGATATGGCTCTTAAAATCCAATTACTGCCATCAGAAGAAACATTTCTACGTACAAATCACCCCATACTCAATGGAATCTAAAAATATTGCACAAGCTTTGCAAATCAAAGATGTCTGTCCCACTGAACTGGGGGAGTAGCAAACTTTTGGTCAATGAGAAAATTAGCTACAGCTCTTTTGCAAGAGAGCTTCCAGCATAAGATATGCTATCATTCTACTAACCCCAGAGCCTGAAGTGATCCCAACAAGTGGTTCCAGAGCATCATGCTGAGATACAATCTAGGCTCCTTTAACTCAAGGAGAAATAAGTAGCAACTATAATCATAAACATGAAAAGAATATCTAGTTGTTTATATTTGAAACAATTGTGTACAACCAACATTTCAACGTATGGCCCTTTGTGGGAAAAACAAGAAAGGCAATACAAAGGAAGAAAAGCATAGTGGGAGAGAGGGAACAAGACCCAAACAATGGTCTCCACAACCCAACAGAGTTTGAACCACAAAGAGGTAAAAGAAACATTAAGTCTATACTTAGCAAAGAATAAAGGGACCTTTCTGACATTTTTGTGTCTGGAGTCTAAAACTTTCAACTCTAAAGAGATGAGTAGAGTCTTAGTGGCCTGGAGAGCCCAAACAGCAATACAGAGATTTCTTGAAGGCCTCTGTAGCAGTTGCTGGCAGCATGGATTATTACACAGGCACCCTGAGAGATCTCTGTTGCTAGGAAATAAAACCCTTATCAGAGTTCTCTTCCCCAGCTCATGGAAAAATCTTTGGGGAAAGACCTTTGTGATCGGGAGCTGTATTAGTATGAAAAAATATATTGCTTAATAATTATTTTTTGCCATGTATTGTGTTAATCCTATTTTATGTTGACTCTCTCATCTAATCCTCATAAATACCCCATTACTATAAAAATGAATAAGGAAATTGGTTTAAACAGTGTAAATAAGACCCAAGGTCAAACAAATAAAAGGCAGAGCTATACTTTGTACCTAAGCATTACTATATTGCTCTTTTGCCTTTAGCTATTCTCAAGCTTTTTTTTTAAAGTTCAGACATTCAAGGGACTTGATCACTAAGGGGAGACATGTGTCCTATTGTACCCAATCTACTCACTGATGCATAAATTAGAGAGGCTGCTGATTACCAGCATTCTTTGTGTTGTCTCCAACATTCCCCCCTTTTTTTGCCTACTCAAGAAACTAGAAGGAAATGTGCGTGAGGGCAAGCAATATTTTTATAAGAATAACCTTGAATCCCCTATAATATATAAAAACCAAAAATCACCTACAAACTTCAGTACCTTATTATTATTAAACATCTAATGTTTCACAACTGTTTGTGGCATAACATTTTGAAAATCATATCCTAAATTAAAAAAAATTTCTTTAATGTTTATTTTTGAGCAAGTGACAGAGTGCAAGCAGGGGAGGGGCAGAGAGAGAAGGAGACATAGAATCCAAAGCAGGCTCTAGGCTTTGAGCTGTTAGCACAGAGCTGGACATGGGGCTCGAGCCCACACACCACAAGATCATGACCTGAGCCAAAGTTGGACGTTTAACTGACTAAGCCATCCAGGTGCCCCTGAAAATCATATTCTATATTGATCCAGAGAAACCTGTTTCACCAGGTTAAATGAGTAATGATGACTACCACTTCAGCATACTGGATTCAGTTCCCAAATCATCTCCTACAAGGTCCAAGGACCTGGGACTCACTTAGGTCCAGCCAGAGTGGAAGGTAGTCAAAGGATTCCATATGTACTCTAAGAAATTTAGAGTACACAGTAATTCCTAACTATACATTTTCTTTTCAATATTTCCTAGCTTCCATATATTGACCCTACCAGATACCAAACTATTTTAAGAGAGAGAGAGAGAGAGACAGAGACAGAGACAGAGACAGAGACAGAGTGAGTTCTTTTTGGCAGGAATATTCAGTTTCTAGATTTTCAAGTTCCCTGATACTTTTCAAAAGTGCGTGTGTGCAAACACACAGTAACACAGGATGTGTAAAAAGAGTTCAGAGATATTTGCTGCCAGTCAGCATGCTGGTCTGTTCTCTTGGCCAGGTCCTCAGCCTTAGGAGTCAGTCCATAGGAGGATGCCAAAGGTCTGAGTAAGGTGGTGAGGATAGCTAGTTCATGGGCTAAGGATTTTGTAAAAATTTTTTTTTAATGTTTATTTATTTTTTGAGAGAGAGAGAGAGAGAGAGAGACAGAGTGTGAGCAGGGGAGGGGCGGAGAGAGAGAGGGAGACACAGAATCTGAAGCAGGCTCCAGGCTCCGAGCTGTCAGCACAGAGCCCAACAAGGGGCTTGAACTCACAAGTTGTGAGATCATGACCTGAGCCGAAGTCAGATGCTCAACTGACTGAGCCACCCAGGCTCCCCAATGTGCTAAGGATTTTCTAAAGAGTGGAGAGGACGTGGATTTCAGAATAGTCTATACTGGCATTCAAATCCTAATAATAATCCCAGATTTGTTCCAGGTCAAATTCAGATTTTCAGTTTTTCCCTAGGACTACTCTTGCTGTGAAAGCATACATGCTTTAAGATAGGCCCTAGAAACACTCTAGACCACAGAAAGCCTTAACCTCCTGACATTTGAGACTAGGGGAAGAAGGGAAGGGAAGGAGGGTTTGAGACCTGATCCTTTGTTCCTCTCTGGTCTGTGAGCATCACCTCCAAAGATCAGGGGACCCTTGGATGTTTAAGTCTCAGTGCAGCTGACTATGGGTAGAACAAGAGCGTTGCTTATCACTAAGAGCTAAGGTAAGGGTGGCAGGGAGCCAAGAAATAAGGGGTCGGCACCTCTAACCCTTATGTTGTTCAAGGGTCAACTGTATTTCAACAAGGGAGGACATTTTTCATAAGAACTTTATCTCCTGTGTTTCAGAAAAGGAAGGAAGATCCCTCCCTGCCCCAGCAACAATGCTCTGACCACTACTTGTAACCAATGAGAAACTGCCACAACCTCAAACTCTTGTTCTTTTCTAATAAACTTTTGTTGAAAACAGCCCTCCCCAATTTCTCCCTGAAACCTAATAAAAGCTGACCTTCCCTTTGTCTTTTTGGACTTGGCTATGGTTTACCATAGCGTGCTTGTCCCGAATTGCAATTCCTCTGCTATACCCAAATAAGCTGGTTTTTTTTTTAATCTTAAATAAAATTGCTCTTTGCTCTCCTTAAAGTTAACAGCTTAAGGTAAAATTGGGCACTTTCCTCATAGCTAGTGCTCAATATGCAGCTCATTTTGATCTTGTCCCATCACATTGCATTTAATGAGTACTCTTCCCTATGCATTCCCTACTTTTTTTTGTCTATACTGAGGATTCAGTATCCCCAGCTTTCTTGTTATTTTCTCAAACTCCCATTATTTGCCCTAATTATCATCTAATTTATTGTGGCTTGTAGCTGACTAAGGATCTGTATGACCCAATATTTATGTTACCAAGTTTAGCGTTAAGAGTATTTATCCTCTTACCAGTTATCTAGAACTCTCAGAAATTATTGCTCTTCTGAGGCCAAAGGTTACATATACTTTGGTCAATTACTTACAAATCTTTTACTCCCCAAACTCATCCTTTTTCTAAAGGTCAAGACCATTGTTGCCTATAGTTGTAGTTGCCTTATCATCAGTAGCATCGAATCATTATCAACAACTGTTAACTACAGTATGTATGTCCAGAATGATGCAGTTTGGCAGGCAGAGGGCAAGTGGGTGTTGGAAATAGCAACCTAAGAATGCTTCAAACCTGCAGAAGATAAGAGACCTAAAGGGCTTCCTTGTTGGGATAAACTGCTGAAAGTGTCTTGGTTTTTTTTTTTTTTTTTTAATTCTTTTTCAACGTTTATTTATTTTTGGGACAGAGAGAGACAGAGCATGAACGGGGGAGGGGCAGAGAGAGAGGGAGACACAGAATCGGAAACAGGCTCCAGGCTCTGAGCCATCAGCCCAGAGCCCGACGCGGGGCTCGAACTCACGGACCGCGAGATCGTGACCTGGCTGAAGTCGGTTAAGTGTCCGACTTCAGCCAG